AAAAAAAAAAATAAAAAGAAATCTGATACTGAATATTTCGACTGATTTGATAGTTTCAGTCGTGAAGAACTTTGCTTCTTCTACATTCATGAAATGCATAAACATTTCAAAATAATTAGAGCATCTGACTGGTGATTTTTCAAAGAGCTCTTCAATTTTCTTAGCGGCTCAACTTGCCAGTAGGCTGGAAAAGAAAGAAAAAAATTCCAGAATGTCGAATTCGTCGTCGATAAAATTCCAGAGGGAAAAATTTCAAAATAACATTTTATATTCAATATTCAATGTTCTCCTGGAACGGAGAAGGAAGATTCGAGTGGCTGAAAGATTCGAGTATCTTTACTTCTTGAAAGTCGTTCAAGTCGATCGAGTTGTTTTTTCGAAAAGATTCTTGGAATTGCAAAAGAGAGGTACTTTTTTACTTTCGGCCTCTAGAAATATTCAAAAACAATGCGAAAGATCTTCGAAGTTTAGCCGTGTCCGTAAATTTTTCGGTGTTGGCCGTGTCCGTGACCCAGAACCGTTCGATTTATCTCGTTCTCGATCGAGTGCACGCAACCGTGGCTTTTCTGCGAGACGTTAGGGCCCAACCACAGGCATACATACACCCTGACACACCTGCTGGGCCCACATTCCATTCTGCTCCTCAGGATCGGCAGGTACAGGTCCCTCTTGGTGTCGAGAAGTCGTTAAGAAGCCTGTGTCGGTTTCCGGCTCGATTCCAGGCAACAATAGAGAACGTTGACAGACGCGATGAAGCGTTGCTGAAAATCGTCGGAAACAACCGTGAAAACCGATCTCCAAACAACCAGGCATTTGAACGATCCGAAGAAAAGTGTGAGAACTTTGAGATTCTTTCGTGGTGACTTTTCGTCGGGTATTTTTGTTTGGTATATTCTTAAATATCCGTGAAAGTTTCTAGCGTGTTTGTGGAGCCTATTAATGACTCAGCGGTTAACATCGTTAAGTCGATCTAATTAGGCCATGAAATTTGTCCGAGTAATAGGGAAATTTCTGCTAATAGAGTTATACCGTGGCCCAAGGAGGCCTCGAATTTTCATTGATTTGTTTGTTAATTTCACCTACGATCAGATCTAGAACTAATTAAAAGGGAAAAAATCTTGTAAATCTTCCATCTCAATATGAGCTAATTCCTGTATTAGATATCGATAGATAGGCCGCGGATTTTTATTGCTTTGGATCAAGTATAATACTACAAAATATGTATTGCAACATTTAAAATGTTAAATGTTCACGAGTCTTTGTATAAACAGGTTTATTTTTCCTTGGTCTAGCAGTATCTCCAAATTTCATGCTAATTTTCATACCAAAGGAGAACGTTCTCGCGACTCTTGCGCTCGCGAAAATCGCAACCAACTCTAACCAACGAATCATACTAATATATAACAAACTCCACTTCCGTTCCTTTTCCCGCCTTGCGAAGCCTGTCCCGGTGGACAGTCCAGCGAAAAGCGGAAACCGCGAGGGTCCTCCTCGAGAACAAAGGCATTTCCTGCGAAGGGAAGAAATCGAGAGCGAGGCAAACCGTGAAATCAGGCGGTCGCGCGCCAGCGGCGCCGGAAATCCACGCTGGCGAACCGTGCCCCATGAATAATCCGAGCACGTTAATTGACAAATCGTTGCGACCGCGACTCCTCTGATATCCGGCGTAATTGGCCGCGACCCCGGCCGGCTAGGTCCTGACCAATTGGTCCAGGGTCGAGCCAGTCATCGGCGAGGCGACCGAGTCATCGTTTATGATCGCAGAAATCGCGAGGCAGCGTCGCGTGCACACACGCAGGCTTACGATGTAATTTCAGCTGGCTTTGAAATCGCGCGAAGGGACACAACCGTGTGTGACACTGGCACACGTGTAAGTGACAGGGACGTAGCTGATTATGTGAGTTCCCGTGACCTATTTCGCAATTGCTGGGAGAGGAGTTTCTCGTAAAGAATAAATGATTTTGTGACGTGGAACCGTATGAAGTCGTGTCATGACGTATTTTGGAATTACTTGAAGTGTAAATTATTATTTTACACGTTGATGGAACTCGTAATGGAGTTAATGAATGGGTAAATTTGGAGCAATGCTTGTGACATTGACAGGAACTAATCGGAAATTTTAGAGTTGTTTAAAGTAGAGATTATTTGTGTAAATTATTTCGTTTGATGCAAGTCGTAGTAAGTTGAGATATGGAATTTGTGAGAATAGAGATTACTATGAGGATCAGAGAAAATTATGGAACTTTAAGAAGATTCATTAGACAAAATTTTAGTAAATTGCAAACGTTTAGCTCTAGTTTTGAATTAATGATTATTTTATTCTCTTGTTATTTACAAGCTAAAGAAATACTCTATAATTCAACTACTTAATTGGAAAATACATTTGTCACAGACTTCTCTTCAGTATTCAGAATTATGATTATATATAGGTAATAATGTTCACTCGTAAATTCTAATTATACTGAAACAGAAATCATTTGGAAGCATTAAACAAAAAAAAAAAATACAACTGTCTGTTTTTTCTCGTTGCTTCTAAAAAGTTGCACAATTTTAGATTTCATCCCTAATTCGATAATTCGTTCCTTGAAAAGTAGAAGAACATTTGACAAAGACGCCATATTATTGTCACGAATTTCCCAAAATATTTATTGCACCGTGTTAATGTTGCTCTAGCGATAGCTGTCTTTAACACCAGAGCCATACGATCCCGTTGTATCGCATAACGGATTATTGAGTACCTCGAGAAGGGTCTACCTGTGTCGCAAGATCAACAAA